CCAGGTCATTATCACCTTCAAACCAAGCCAAGGCGCCCACCCAGTAGCACGATTCTTCTGTGACCTGCCTTTCCAAGGAGAAAACTTCATGGCCCAGTGCACTCCCACCATGCTGAAGCACAGACTTCAACCCAAAGTTCTTACCTTCACTGACAACCTGATCTACCCCCCCACCCCTCCCCGCCCCTCAGTCAGGGAGTCAGCCACTTAAAAGTTCATTCAGAGGCACCCTGGTACACACAGGGAGCATGGTGATGAATAAGTTCCTACCTTCGCAGAGCTCCTAATTTGGTACAGAAAATGGGAGTTACATAAATCACTAAAATTAGATTAGATACATGCAATTCGAGGTTCTAGGGAAGGTTGCTGCGGGAGCACCTGGTAGAGAACAGCTTTCTTCCATCTGAGGAGAACAGCAGGGAGCACATGAGCCCTAGCTAAGGGACAGCCGGAGCCACATCTACAACCCTGAGCCTTCCACCCTAGGCACCTTTGGTTCTCATCTGCAAAACACCAGCATCAGGTGGGAGGGTCTCGCAGGTCATGCCTGCTAGTGATGCTACAGCCATGGGGAAAACAGGCTGAGAGTCACTTCTCCACTGTTGAGACAGAAACACCTGAAATCCATAGCATAAAGGCAAAGAAGTTGCATTTGACTCATGGTTTCTGAGGATTCAGTCCACACCAGCTTTTCCTAAGCAGGAGCACCATGGCAGAAGGGTGTGAGGAGCAAAGGTACTGTGCTCTTGGGGACAGGAGCACAACGGGAACAGCCGGAGAGGAAAGGGCAGACACAGACATAGACTCCAAGGTCATCCCTCCAAGAGCCCCTGGACACACCTGGTATGCGCTCTGCTAGTCCAGTGCAGCTGGCGTTTAAATTTAAGGTCACAACTGAGGTGACCTTCCAGCTCACAGACTCCCAATCCCAGGCAGAGGTTAGCACACACCTGGGAAGCCCCTGGCTTTCTCAGCCACTCTGGACAGGATGATGGGGTGCAACTGCACAGGCTACCACCTCGACTTGGGTGCCCCTGGGTCCCCCATTTCTCCATGCACCTCCGCTGCTGCCCCAACCTGCAGCTAAAACAATCCCTTAGTGACTCTTCTTCCAATCCCAGATCTAACCTCTCTGACTTCATGCAATAGATCATTTCTGCAGGTCTCTGAATTTAAAGCCAGGCTTTGATGTTGCCAGCACCTAAGATGCTGGTCAACATCTCTGCTCCACGCCAAGCTCACCTTCTTGTATAGTCCATGCAGAAAGCTAGAACCCCTGGGGCTGGCTCATGGCCAACACTGAATGAATATTAACCTGTCATCTTTGCAACCAGCGTCAAGCGCGTAGCAGACGATGGAGTACCCTACCACGCACTTCTCTAGACACTTTGTATCAGCTTGCACCCCCCCCCCCAAGTGCTTCCGTCTCCCAGGCCAGTGCATTCCAATCCAGGTCTTAAGATTCACAGCAGGAAGAAACACAGA